CGGCGGGGCGGCTGTCAGCGGCGAGGCGCTGATGAAGGTGAAACGCGCGCTTGCAGGGCGAAACAGAGCGGCTCGCGCTGCTGGGCGAAACCCAGCCGCCGGCGTATGTTCAGCATCAGCGCTCTTACGCTAAGAACTTAAGCGTGTGCTTGCTATGAATAATTTCAGCTCTGATACAAAGCACGCTTAAGAAGCTGCTAGTGATGGAGTAAAACCGTTGAGCAATCTGATTTTTTTTTTTTTTGGTTTCCCCGTCATCTAGCGTTAATGTTTCATGTTTGACTTAATTTGAGGGTGGTTACCTTTAAACAGACAGACCAAAAACCAAATGACCTTGATACAACAATTTGTGTATTGCCGACTCAATTATGTTGTACTACCGGTGGCCAGGAAGGCTCGGCGTGTGCGGGAAGCCCCCGAGCCCTCTCCGGGTTGGCGTAATGGATCTTTTTGCACTTGCCCTGTGTTCTGGAGGGTTACCTGTGTTTCTCCTTAGAGATGGTCTGGGATCCCCTCGCAAGTTAGCTTATCTTCCTTGAAGAACTGCAGGGAATGATTGGAGGATCACACAAATTTGGGCTATTTTGTGTCCCTACTGCACAGCTGTCAGGTTCCACCCAGAAATAAACTTTTATTTTTCAAAAATAGCTCTAAGAGAGTGGACTGTAGATTAAAGTGCATCTTCAAACCCTGCTATTCTGCTATTGTGGCTGGCAGCTGAATAGGTTAAGGCAAAGCCTGGAACAGAGCCCAGGTCATCTCAGTGATAAGGATATATTCTAAATCATAAATGATCATTTCGCCCTGAATTGATTTGTAGCCGCAGTAGGTTAGTAATCCCTAACTGCAATATAACATTTAAATAGATACTTAATTATTTGTTGTTTTAAGAGATTGGAGACTCGTTTAAAAAAGAAAAAAAGAAAAAAAACTTAATGAGCTATCCTGTGGTTCGTTCTATTGCAGTATACCCATATGTGTAAATACTATCACTTGCTCACTCAGCACATATTCTTAATATGAGTTTGTGGAGGCTTCGGTCTGCTTCACTTCTGCATCATACGTTATGCTTTGTTCAAAATTGCATTCTGTTCTTCTTGGAGTAAAAGATTATCTTCAAGAGCTTTTATTTTCCACTTTTTTTAACTAATTCAAAAACAATCCCGTAGATAAGACCTATCAGCAACCGCCTTTTTTTTTTTTTATTATTATTTCCTTTTTGGCTACCACTGAAATGAGTGAAAATACTACAAAGGACTCGTACTTCTCATCTCATCAAATGTGCCACTCCCATTTTGCATGCTGCTCTCGCTTCTTTACTGTAGGGTAATGCTGGGTAACATGTATCCGTGAATGCTCTCTGAAATGCGGGATGAGCTTTTGCACTTTAAAAGGTTTGAATAACTGTCCTAATCTGCCAACCCTGTAACTAACCACCTGAACTCTGAAATATATCAAAGTAAGACTTTTTTAAAATCAGGAAATTCATGGAAGAACACTATGCTTAGTGCTGAGCTGGAGAACTTTGCTCTTTATGGTGTTTTACATGTATTTTATTATCAAGTTTTGTGATGCTTTAAGGTGAGCAAAATATGATTTCTGAATATTAGTAGTTTCTTGTGGATGTCAGGGTTTTTTTTGTTTTTTTTTGCCCCCCCCCCCCCCCCAAAAAAAAAGAAAATCTCAAAGGAGTAAAACCATTAGATTTAGGGACAAGGTTCACCTTCTCTGTGGAAGCAATAATATAGGTTAATATTTGACTGTGTTAATTTGTAAAAATAGCTAGATCAGTCTCCTAAAAGAAATTGGGAGGAGGAAGAGCCATTGACTTCATTCCTCTAAGGACAAGGGATATAATCCACAGTTAGTGGTGCAACTGAAGCGTATTTCAGTGGTCCACTCTGACGCTGGTCACTGTCAACAGCTTTCAAAGAGTTGCTAATATAAGAATAGCAGCTTAGCTTTCTGAATATGCTGTCCATCACAATATCTTTTTTACTGTATTTCTTTGCCTTATTTTCTTTGGCTGCTTCCTCCCCCCGTTTAAATTAAGAGTTTTGTCAGTACGAGCTTTCTCCTTTCAATAGTCAAAGCTGAGTACGATTCAGTAGTTTAAACAAGCTTCTCTTAGTCCTTTTGCTTGTTTTCAAACTGATATCAAACGTAAGTGTTAGCTGGTATTAGTAAGCTTGACTTTCCAAATTCATGACAGTATTTCCCATCACAGAGGTGCAGGCATCATAGAATTGATTGCTGAGCCAGTGCCCAGTTAATAAACCAGGAAAATGATTCTTCTGTGCGCCAAGAGCTTCACATAGCTGCTTCTGTTCCAGATAACTGGCTTGAACTGGAAATGAGTTGGGCTACATAGTAACATGACAGTGCTGCTTTTTTACACTCTGCATTCATGAGTGTAAAACACATGAGTGTGTCGTTGTGCTCCCCCCCCCCCCCCCCCATAATTATTTTTTTTGTTGGTTTTTGAAGTTGGAGGTGCAGGGAAATGCGTTTCTGTAAACAGTAGGGATCTTGTTTTAATTTCTGGATGATCCAGGCTATTTTGATTGTGGTAGGGGTTCAGATCTACCGCTCACTTCATAGTGCTCATTTATAATGCTTAGCTTTTACTGTATTATATATTTTTTAACAGAAGTGGTATAAACAAGCAATACATGAAAGCAGGTGTTCTTTGGAAGTGGCAAAATTCATGATAAAGTTGAACGTGAAAACGTCAATAACGTGGACTTTATATTCCCGTAAGGACGGTTTGACCATGTTTTTTGTCTGTATATAGCTGATACTTTGAGTACCAAACACTTAGTCGAGTGCTTCACGCTTTAGTGTAGATCAGAGTTGTGTATAGGTTGTTTTACCCCATTAGGTTGTGTTCTGTATGTTTTCTTCCAAAACAATGTTCGTGGGAAAGACAAAAACAGTATGGTATATGTTATGCTTTGTTCTCAAATTTAGATCTTAATCATAGAGTAATTCAAGGTGGAAGGATCTCTGAAGGTCCAACTCCCCTCTCAGAGCAGGATCTGCTTAGATCAGATCCTTGGGACCCTGTGCACTTGAGCTTTGAATGCTTTCAAGGCTGGAGATGCCACAATATCTTAAGCAACTTATTCCAGTGATTTTTGTTTTTTCGATAGGAAAATTTCCCTTGTAGCAGGTTGTGTCTGTTGTTGTCTTGTTCTTTACACATGCACCTCAGAGAAGACTTGGACTGAGGCTTTCCTTCCCTGTTACTGCTGTCTGCAGCTACTGCAGATCCCTCCGAAGCCCCCTCTTCTTACTGCTGAGCAAGGTTCTTTTTTTTTATGTCCTGTGCTCCAGTGCCTGGTCATCTTGGTGGCTCTTTACTGGACTTACTCCGGTGTGTCTGTGTCTGTACTACAAATGCAAGATAATATGTCCTACTCTGTCACGATGCAGGACTGTCACACTTCAAGGCGTCTTAAGAAACATGGGGTTTCTGTCTAACCACAATTTAACCTTTTCTTGCCTTCCTTGAACTTTACTGCATCTACAAATAGCTTGAGTAGGAGAACTCTTTAAGATGAGATTTTAAGACAAGAGGCCTGCGGTAGTTTTTGGCTTCAATTCCAAACCATATATATCAAAACAAAAATATTTTAAATGGGTCTTATTTTATACCTCAGCTAGTATCTTCTATTTCAAAGCTTGTTCTTAGCAGTATTTTGTAAGAAACATGCTTCCAGCCAGAGGAATTTTAGCTATTTCTACAAATAGAGTTAACGCAAGAAACAATCTGAACTTGTTCTCCATTGATGTAACCTGTCCTGTCTTTTTCTTGAATAGGAATATGAAGAAAAAACTGGGCGAGGTCACAGGCCGCTTTCTCCCAAACAGAACGTGAGGAAGAATCTTGATTTTGAACCACTCTCCACTACAGCACTTATTTTAGAGGACAGACCAGCGTAAGTTCTGGGAAGTACCCTAGTGAGAGTCCCTTTAAACTTGGGCTAGCAAACCTTTTCTTACTGTGTGTATTTGGTCACTCTAACTTATTTAAACAGATGACTTAAAATATAAAATACTTTTTTCAGACTACTGAGTATGCAGGCGAGATGATGAAGAAAATTATTCAAAAAAGTAACCTAATTTTTATAATAAAAGCAATGGCTTTGTATGAAAGATAATTAGGGGAGCAGAACTCTAGTTGTGAGTACATCTAGCTTGCACGCATGAGTCAGTGCATTCTCTCAGGTGAAATAATAATCAGGTTTAAAAACGAAGCTGGCATAATGCTAAAGAGATTGGCATAATGCTAAAGAGATTGAGAAGCAAGGATCCCCTGTGCTCTTTACACAGAGAAAGTCTAAACCTCCCTAAATAACGAAGCAATATCATGATTGTTTTGCAGGGAGTTCACCATCACCTTATGAAGGTTGTCAAGCGCTTGATTAGTTATTTCATTCCCCCGTCACTGCAAGCAGATTCGTGCGTATACAGGTTAACCCTAGAAAGATTTAGTGGCAGCTTTACTATGGTTTGCTCCTGAATTTTGCAAATTCAGTCATGTTTAATCAATTTATGAATGGTACCTAGTTTTACAGGCACGGACAGAAAACACTGTCTTTTAATATAGCTGTGCGTTGTTGGTATAAGAAGCTGACATAATGTGGGTGTGTGTTTTCACTACTGAATCTGTATGAAGAACACTCACATCAAGCTGATCTAGTTGCAGGGTCATTTAAGATGCTTTTTTGTGACTGGTAAAAAATATGTGACAAGATCTCCTAGTATATATAGAGCAACATAAGACTGATTATTTGTTATAGCAGTTGTTTGTGTACAACTAGAAACAATGTACGTTAGCTTATTTGTTGTATTTCAAACTTATCTATTAAAAACAATTTTCTTTTTTTGTAAGATATTCTGAAATATACAGTGCTCAAAGAGATCGAATTAATGATACACTGTGGAATAACATTCAGTTTTTGGTTTTTTTCCTAATATTGATAGACTAAGGAACTCCCCCTAGCGAAAACTGGATATTTTTAAGATTCTAGACAATTGAATGATTATTTCTTTTGTCTAACGGAGGAAACTGTTCTGAAGAACAGTGCTGTCATTAAATGAATATCTTTAAAAGATTTTTTTTTTTAATTATTTACTTTGAATTTGCAGGGCAGGGTTTTTTTTTTTTCCTTATGATTTAAGAAATTTCTTCCGTTATCAAAAAGATTTAAGACTTAACAGAAAAAAAAAGCAGAGAGATGTTCTCAAAATGGCTGCCCATGCGATTTCATCTCACTTGTTGGGCGTAGGTAAAACTTCCTAGGAAAATTCAAATCATATTCCACAGTCTTTCTAGCTTTAACTGGAAAAGGTGTTGACTCTTAATAGATATTAAACATCATCTCAAGTATATGATGATGTCGCAAAAAATTTAAGTGGTGCACCTTAAGTTAACAGCACTTGAAAGATTTCATCTAGTTTTTCCATTCCAAACTTTCCACAGCTTATACCCTTTCTGAGGATCCTAATTTTACAAAAAGAAGGATCTGGTTAATTTGCATAAATAAAACTGAACTCGTAGGTTATTGTCTGTGGTTAAAGATTGCATTAATGTGAAAATCCGTTCTTCTCGTTCTTGTAACAGTCTTGATTTTTAAAAATATTCGTAGGCATATATCACAGGGCTATCAGTGCTTTGCAGATAATATGATTATGTAAATAGTAAAGCATACTAACCGTTAATGTTGACTCTGTTGACAGCTAGCAGCTGCCTCATGTATGAGGCCTTATAGAAATGTGCAAGTGAAACTTTGCATATCTTTGGTTAAAAAAAGATATACACTGTCTTAGAAATACAGCACAGTGAAGAATAAAGTACTTAGTCACTTCCTGTTCTGATGTTTCGGTAATCATATAGTTGTGCGAGGTGCGTAGTGATTACGTTAATTGCAGAGTTTATGTGGTCTGATGTATGAGTATGTGCATTTGTATGGTAGAGACGTGGCCGGTCCAGGCTTTACCCCCAAATCACAAAACAAATGGCTGTGTTGGGCTTGGTAAATGAAGAAGAGAGAGGATGACTCCAGAGCTGCTTGTTGCTGGAGAGGTGAGAGGCAGGAGTTAAGCCCTCTAAAGTAGAAATGGGATCTCTGAGCGCAGGGAGGAAAAGGAAGCTGGCATAGTGACTCATTACTGCCTGAATAAAGACAGTTGTGGGTGTAACTTTGTGGGGTGTGCAGCAAGAGAAAATAGGCTCTTGAATTAGCTGTAGAGAGCAGTCTAAATCGAACTACCAACTTGGTATGTACCACTATATTCCATTTATTTATAAAGATTAGTCTGTGGGTTCAGTTGGTTTCATTAAAACAAAAATGCTGAAATTACCAAGCAAAAGGAAATTACTCAGCATGTTCTGTGTATAAAAGTAGTCGTAGCTGGTCAGTGTTCTTTCCTTCTCTTCTGCTGACGCTGGCAAAAAAAAAAATCTTTCCAAGAATCTGTTGCACCACGCTTTGATCAAATATTTTGACAAGAAGCAGTATTATGCTTTTCTTTTAGAAGCATCTAGAATTTTCTTTAGACGGGCATGCCAAACTTTAAAAACTGCTTTTTTTTTAATTTAAGGAACCTCCCTGCAAAACCAGCTGAAGAAGCTCAGAAACATAGACAACAGTACGAAGAAATGGTGGTTCAAGCCAAAAAAAGAGGTGATGGAATTTCTTGTCTACAGAGGAGAGAAGTAACGTTAAGGGGTATTTCTAAACCTGGAATGTACTTGTCAGTTTGTTGCCCTGTTGCTTGAGGGGTCTGTACCTCCCCTCACAGGGTCAGTCTAAGAAAGAAAGAAGAATAAAGATAGTTTAATTTAATTAAAAACAAACAAAAAAAAAGCCTGCACGTTTATTTGTTTACTTATTGGTGACTCTTAAAAGAATTGAGTGGCATCTGTCTGTGGGTTTAGAAGCTTGCCAGTGTATTGGAATAGATATCAGTCCAATTAGTTAAGACCAAATTTTTTTGGATAACTGCAGGATATTTGGTAGTTTTATTTCGGGAACAACCTCCTGAGGCTGTAATTCCAGGGAGGAAAATGTGTGTAATTACGTTCATATGATAATCTGTCTCCCGTTTAAAATTTACAGTTTTCTCAAGGTTTTGCTAGTCATTTATTATCTGACACGGTTCACAGAACTATCTCAGTAACACTACTGTGCACGTCAGGTGGAGCTGGCAGTTAGTAGTGGATTCCTTCTGCAGATGTTCTTGACCATCTGGATTTTCTAATGAAAACAGGCATTGTAATGATAGGAAATTTGGACTCGTGAAAGTTTTGTGTCCAGTGAGAGCTTCCGGAAATAAATGTTTTTCAGCTGCCCAGACCCCTGAGCCGTATAAGGTGGTGAAAAGGTGATATGAACTGAGGACTTGCTTGCTTGCTGTAGTTGGTGTTTTAATAAAAGTATCGTATTGTGGTTTTGAACATGATATGCCTACTGGTTAAGTTTATCCTCCCCTTTCATGTGATTGCCATATCAGTATATCCATATAACCAGGCAGTAGTCCAAAGGAGATTGTGTTCTTCCTTTGCCTGTAGGGTGGATGGTTTGGGAGAAATGCAATGATGCTCAGGTTAGGCAATGAGCCAAGTCCTTGTTCTGACTTCACTGTATTGGAGTATATCATTCTGTCCAGATAAACACTCCAACAAAGCCATTTCCCCTAAAGCCTCTCCAGATGAACTATTTTGCAGAGTGATGTATTGCGTAGAGGGCAGGAAAGCAGTGAGTGTAAACGCTTCTTTTGTTCAGAGAAAAATGCAAAGCGTGCATTTAGGCAGGCTCACAAAAAGCTGATGTCAAAGCTGACAAATGTTAGGAGGCAGCTGTATGTTTCTGCTCAGATGTAGCTTCTGTAATGCTTTAAAACGGAGCCATCAGGTTGTGTGTGTTCGTTTCAAAGACCTCGTTCGTGGTCCTGCTGTCTTTCCAGTCATTTTTCTTGCCGTGTCGTTATCTTCCCATATTGTAGAGCGTGTTCCATATTACGTGTGTTTGTCTTTCATTTTCACTGTGCTGCTATAAGGAGCGTCCGCCTGTGTTTGTAAAACTGCATAGTAGCATGTCTAACAAATTTGCCTGTGGAAAAAAATAGTAGTTGAGGATGTGAGAGGACATACAGAAAGGTAATGCAGAAATGTAAAAAATGTTTAAACTAACCATATGAACAAGTGTATGATTTTATTTTTAGTGAACTGAAAGCTTCCAGTATGCCTATTCTTGGTGTATGCCATGTTTATATTAACCATCTGCTAAGTTTAGCCTCAAAACCATGACTCTCTTCATTTCCTGACAATATGCCTAAATCATGATTTGCAAAGACAAGTAAGTGTAAAAACAGCAAGCAAAGTTTAAATTGTTATGGCCTGTATTTTTGAGATGCCCATGAAAAAGGCGTGCGGCGTTATTAGGGCCTGTCACCTGCTCGGCTAGGTCATTGATTTGTTCTGTATTGGCTGTCAGAAAGACGCTAATTGAAAGTCACTACTGTGGTTAAATTTGAAGGCTCAAAGGAGCCACATACTATTAACTCCTCTTTTTTGTCCTGTCCCATCCAAAATGAGCCTAACGCATAGTTCCACTTTGTTCTTTATTCACATTTGGCATCACTGCTGAACTTGCTGCATATTATTTAAATGACTGGAAAAGTTTTAGAATTTGGACAGGCCACTGTAACCGTAGGTGTATATAATGTGATTTTACATGGCTATATAGTCATGAACAGCTAGCTCTGAAGTACTTGGTTTCTGATTTTTATCAACTTAAAGGACATTGTTCTTCTGCAGAACTTAAAGAAGCCCAGAAGAGAAAGAAACAACTGGAAGAACGCTGCAAACTGGAAGACAGCATTGGCAATGCTGTTTTAACTTGGAACAATGAAATCTTGCCCAACTGGGAAACTATGTAAGACAGTATGTTATACTTAGTGTTAATTGACACTGCAGAGGCTGTATCCTAAAGACAAGTTATAAAGTTAGCAAGTGTTACTTTAAAGAGAAACTTTTAATTGAAAGTCAACTTTGGACGCTATAAAGGAAATTAGCCTCCTTGCAGAAAAAAGAAAGCTTGTGCTGCTCAGTGATGCAGTTCTGATTCTTCTTATTTGTCTTAATGGAGGTTCAAGATATTCAGAAACTGTTAAAGATCAAGAAGTGATCTATGCTAGGAAACTTAAAAACAGAAAGCATAATGCTTGAACACCACACATTTATCAGAAATCAGCTTTCCTTGATTACCTGAGCTGCTGATGTGATAATATCAGATGTAGATTGAAGTACATGCCTGGTATTATTAAGCCTTTTTAGAGTGGTGTGTACCTGCTGAGATAATCAAGTGATGGAAAAGAAAAGTAAGGAAAGAGGTGTTTTTAAAAAAAATCTTAAGTTCTAAAAGATTTTCTGCAAAGGCAAAGCACAGGCAATTAGTAAGCTACCTTTATTGTCCAGTTTTTCATGGGCTTTGCTAGTCATCTTAAAACAAACAAAAAGGTTCCCCTAAATCCCAAACAAAACCACCACAAAAAAACTTCAAAGCATTCAAAACTGCATTTTGCTTAATGATGGAATTCAATTGCCCTGAGAATATATGTGAGGTATTCTCCAGCAATTCTGTCCACGTTTTTATCTGGGAAACTGAAATAGCTTACAATTTGTTTACACTGTTTTTTTAGTTCTACGTGTCTATTTTTGGTATTTGGACATGCATTTGTTACAATCGTTATAAAAATAAGCACACTTTTTCCCTATATCAGTTTACAAATTCAGAAGTTCCCCCCTGTGTTCCATATTTCACATTTTTAGTTCATAATCTGTTTTTAGATACATGACTGTGTTTTTTGTCACTGCCACAGACTTTAATAGGTGATCAAGTGCTATCTTGTTCCTTCTTTTGGGACCCTCCGGTTGATAAACATCAACCTTCAGCTATTTCAAGATTTGTGTTGTGTTAAAACGTCTTTCATGCTCCCACCTGAAAATTGTTACTAAACTTGCAGCTTCATGCGTTTCACTTGAGAGTGAGAGCTGCAAAGCTGAGTGGGAAACTGCATGTCTCGTTTGTGCAGAAGGGTGTTGAATGAGGGGAGAAGATAGACTTTTCTAACTTGTTTCAGTATTTAATTGTAGCTGGAGAATTGAGCCTGTGCAGTCTCTAGCTTATGCAGTGGCACAGGAACGGATCTCTCTTTTGCTCGTTTATTTCTGTCCCCTGTGGTTCTTGCTGATGGTGTGTGGTGGCAGCTTGTGGGCGCTCTGACTGCAGTGCTCCCGTGTAAGCCATGAACTTTGGAAAGAAAGCAGCTTTGCTTTACTGTTAAAAGCAAAACAGTACTGAAGAATGGATATATGAATCTAGATCTTTTCAGCTGTGGTGCGAAGGGAGACTGGCAATTCAGCTGGCAATAGAATATTTCCTCTAAGAGCATCTTTTCTTTTGAACAGGTGGTGTTCCCGTAAAGTTCGAGAGTTATGGTGGCAAGGCATTCCACCAAGCGTGAGGGGCAAAGTCTGGAGCTTGGCAATTGGCAACGAGTTAAACATCACCCACGGTGAGATGACTTTCATTTTTGTCTATAGCACGTTACAAAAAGTAGTAGTGAGGGAAGAGTCTTGTATTTCTTACGGCGTATCAGAACCTGAGGTGTGAGTGGGAGGACATGGTGTCTGGTCACATTTCATTTGTAGTATTTTTATGTGTTTTGTTCAAAAATATTTAAAACTTTTAATCCTGTTCCAGGACTGCTGCTGTGTATTATTAACGATTCTTTATCTTTGTATCTCGCTTTGATGTTAAATGGAAACGGTCAGAATTAATGACACGATTTAGATAAGAAATAAGTTTTATTTTACTTAGAATTGCTGTTAATTTTATACTGCCTATGGGTACGTACATGTTGTTGTTGTTTTTTGTTTGTTTGTTTTGTTTTAAGCAAGACATTGAGTTTGTGAGAGACTAAAAGACCCCTGAGAAAATTTGTCCTTTTGCTTGTGCGTAGGCTAGTGAAAATAGAAATAGCGTGCTACTTCAGACTACAGGAAAATAAAACCCTGAAAAACTACTGTGATATGTAACTAATTCCAAAGTGGAAAGTGAATAGATTGCCTGTACTCCTGCTGTATTATACTGCCTTTCCATGCTTGTTTTAGTTACTGTAGGTGTAGTTCTTGCATGGAATTTGATAGCCCTATCCCGGTTGTCCATTCAGAAAATAAGTTTGAACGTAAGCGTTACGTGGGAAAAATAAATGCTTGAGCATGCTGTGTGAGTTGTGCCTAGATTGCCTTTCCTTTTCACCTCATCTTAAGCTGCAGCTCAGTGGCACAACGCTTTCAGAACCATAAGCTACTTAAAGTTCAACTGGTATCTTAGAGATACTTAAGAGACTGGAGCAGCATTGTTTGTATGGAAGGTAATCAGTAACTGACAGTGGGCATGTGCATGTGCAAGTTACAGACTTGGTTTTCTCTGTTTTTCATATCTTTTTCCAGAACTCTATGATATTTGCTTGGCTCGTGCCAAAGAGAAATGGCGATCACTTAGCACGGCAGGGGCTGAAGTAGAATGTGAAGGTATGCTTCTAATGAGTGATTTTTGCTGTGTTACAAAATAAGAGATTTTGTAAAATTGTCTCTTAAAATGAAATAACACGTTTTTAACAATTTTGAAAAATTCACCTGTAAAGATAAGTCTGATTAAAAAGAAAACTTTGTAGGAAGCAAGAAATAATTGCACTCCTTCTTAGTGACTGCAGTCTCTTGTATGCCACACTTGTTAATTTTACCATCTCTGTGTCCAGTTCTTAAATCAATGCTGATTGGTAAATTAGGAAAGTTCTGGGGATTATAGTTTAAGTTATAACATTAAGATATTTTGCTCTATCTCTTGGTTCTGGGATTAAAACTCTCCAATCTTAGCAGTAAATTGCATTTTAGTGCCTCAGCGCAGCTTTGAGTCCATCTCTGTGGTGCGCCTCAGTAGCAGTTTATTGCTGCAGACTAAGCAGTTCCTGATTTTCTAATTGATTAGAAGAGATGTCTCTTTCAGAGAGTATGACGCTATATGCAGATGCTTGAATTTGCCTTTGGCAAGTAATTATGCTTAGCAGAAAAAGGGGAACATATATACTGGCATTTATCAATAAAGCAAAATAGTTTTGACTGGGAAAACCTGGACTTTGTTCTCTGCAACTTAAATAAGATACAACTTCTGTTATACCTCTGTGCACTTTTAGCTTCCCCTTGCACTTTCTTTAGTTCTAGAGTGTATATACTTAACGTGATTGGTGTAAGCATCTGCTAGTGGCAACTCTAGCTCCTAACCATACTAATAAGGACAGACAAAATAGAAATAAAATTGGAAAGAAATGTTGGAAAGAAAACTGGTGCGTTAGAAATTTATTTTGCATGAGATTCATCTCAGTTAGTTACGGAGAATGTATTTGCAGTGACCGAAATCTGTAACAGAAAATAGAAAGAGAAAGTAAATGCGATCATATTTTGAAGGAAAACTGACAGTAGCAGGGATAGGCAACATCCATCACATGCTTTTAGTTTAGTTCTTCTCCCTCCCCCCCGCCCCACCAGAGCCTTTCCACACAAGCTGCTACTTCAGGACCCACTGAGAAGCCTTGTTGGGGTCACTCGTTTGCAGGCTTGTGCATGTCCACTGATTTGTCAGAAGGATA